GCACTGTAGTTTATTTTGACTCGCACCACAGACACTATTCTGCTGCTGTAAAAACCAAGTGCTGCATCAAAGATAGAGAAAGAACGTGCTTCAGTAGATTAATCCAGCACTGAAATTGAATGCCAACAAAGGCTCCATTTATATTCCATTTGAATTTGGAAAACAAAAATATGGTGCCCAGCTATTTTAGGAAATTACTCAATTATTTAATAATGCAAATACATATTTGTGATCTATTTTCCACTGCCAGCAGGAGCGGATGGTGCTGAGTACAACTAGAAATGGTAAAGACTCATCACATGCACTTTTTATGGGTTTTTCATTATATGACATATGCAGATTAGCCTCGACATTAACATATAAATGATGGGCGAGATTTAGAAGACAAGTTAATTTACTTTCAGTGAAACTTAGGAGAATATTGTGATTTGTTAAAGTTGCGCTCCTTTTGCACAAAATACAACTTGGTAAAAATCTTTTTCATCCGTGTTTGTGACCTGTGTGTATAGGAGGTAATGACTTTCATGTGGATTCACTTCATCATTTCACTCCTCCAAGTGTGTCTGGGATCAAATACACAACACACAAGAGAGAATAGTGAGACTTTTCACTGAGCTAATGGGAAACAGCGTCATGCAGCTGACAGTAAGTAACACAGACTTCGTCAAAGCTTCTCTGTTGGAGTGTTTTGACATGAGAAAGTTTCAAAATTGTTTTCTACGCAGCATGCGTTTACAGGTCAGTCGTGCATCTGCAGCGGCGACTTGACAGCAGTAGATAGTGTTACACAGCTCCTCCTGACATCTCTGACCTCCACCAGGCTGATCGATATGCACAGAGGTGATGGTAGCGGGGGGGAGGCACGAGTTGAGGGGGGAGAAAGAGTGAAACAGAATGAGATGTACGGAGGAAGAGAATAAAAATGAGGGAGTCTGGGAGGACAGACAGCGAAAAAGAAAAGGAGACAGAGGAGAGAGAAGGTTTCAGGCTAGTTATCTCCCAGCCGAGGGTGTCTGGGTTTGGACACCGAGGACGTCTAGGCTTTCACTTGCAGAAGTTCAGAGGAGAGGCAGGAGTGGGGGGAGACTGCTGAGACTCAGGTTATCCCCCAGCTAAAGGGTCTCTGGGTTTAGACACTGAGGAGGGTATTAGCTTTCACATACTGCTGGGGTAACGGGGGAGTCTGCCAGATGTCAGCTCCTTACCCATAAATCCTGCTAAATGGGCAGCAGCTATGGGTTAGAGGGGGAAAGTCGAGTGGATGTCACCTCTCTATCATCATCTGGGGTGTTTGTCAAAATCGGAGCTGGGGTCATATATATCTAACTTCAGTCAGCTGATGCCAGTACCTCATTCCTTGTTATTTCTCATCAGACTGTTTCAGTTTCCTGCACTAAATCAATCCAATGTAACTCACAGCTGATAAATTCTACCTTTCTGTATTTGCATTAAGGTGTAGATATGTGTGAAATCAACACAAGATAGTTTGTGGCTTTGTCATAGCAGAAAAAAAATATTTTGAAATCATCCATTGTCCTCAAATGATATTTACTTTTATATTTACCTGTGTTTTGTGCAGCGGCATTGAGTTTCAGTAGAACAAGGTCACTGCCGGTGACCAGCCGGTGTGTCTCAGGTCAGTTCCTCAACAGTTATGATTAAAACCGTCTCATATTCAGGCTGACGTCAATACATTCTTAAAATTATACACATGGTTTTGGATGGATTTCATGAGCTCCCGGTCATAAATCTCGCTCGCTGCATAAATACCCTTGTAAACTTTAAATTCATATTTATAAAAAGAGAAAAAAAAATACACCATAGATGGGGTGAGACATGACGGTTGTGCACGTTTCGTTTGCATTACAGTAAAAAATGCAAAAAATAAAATAGAAAAACATCGTTTTTATGAACTGTAATGTTCAGTGATTTTCAGAAACCACCTTGAACTTTCAAGCCACCTGCTCAAGTAAAACTGAGCCCCAACAGTACAATAACACACAGTCCTTCACCCCCAACAGAGGACTTTAAAAGAGGTTTCGCTTTTTAAAATCCCTCGGGGCCAATCAGGTTTACAGGCACAGTCACTGATCTCAGGTCAGTTTTAAACCTCAAACTGACCTAAAGCACCACACAGTGTCAATAATCAGCTTCGTCTTCAGCTAAATCTTTATGAATGTAAATTAAAATCAAGATAGTCAAAAGTTGTTGTTGTTGTTGTTGTTGTTTTGCGTATTTGCTACAATTTACTTTTAAAAGTTTACATGTTTTTTGAGAGGCAACACTATGTTTATTTGACAGAATTCCCAGATTTCTCTTAATTGCCTCTACTGGCTTATCATTTTCTGCTCACCATTTTTCTCTGGTTGCTGAGGCAGAAAGTACAGATGTGCTTGGGCTGAGCTGATTGGTCGGATCCTCGGCCGGGGGAGGAGCTGACGTGGAAGAACGGCGGTGAGGGAGCGTGGCACGGCTGTCCGTCGTGAAGCCCTTCGCCCAGAAGCAACACGTTCCCCAGATGGCTGATGTAGCTGCTGGCCAAACGTAGCGTCTCGATCTTTGATAGCTTCCTGCAATCACCCAAACATTTGTGGTATTAGTACAGAAAAAAAATGTTTACAATGGAATTGGAGACGTGCTACACTTTTTATACAACATTTCCAAAATGTAGTAAGACTGTAGAAAGAGTAAAGACAATGATGCTTGATGTTGAAGTGTGGCAATGATTACTCAGTTAAGCAGCTGCCCCAAATTATGGTTAAAGGTGCCTGTTGCCCACAGCTGTATCTTGGACCAGTTTGTTGTCCTATCATTTACTAACTTTGGGTACCAGATGGAAATCCTATTGGTGCATCAGACAGAATTCCAGGACTGTGTACCTGTCTGCAGGCTCGGTGGGGATGAGTGTGCGCAGCGCTGTGAACGCCGTGTTGACAGAATTGGTGCGATCTCTCTCCCGTGCGTTGGCTGCGGTCCTCTGACGAATTTCCCCAGGGGGAGATGAGCCTGGGGGGCCCAGCCTCCCCACCATGCCCCCAACGCCTACTACCCCTCCACCCCCTATGCCCGCGCACAGCTTCCTCTTCCTGTTCACCTTGATGTGAAAGGCAGATGGGGACGAGGAGGACAGGCGGAAGGCGGCCGAGTTGGAGGAGTTGGTGGTGCGATCCTCGGAGCCCGACCCCTCGCTGCCGTTCTCGTCTTCGTCTTCAGAGAGGAGGGCGATGTCGCCGTACAAGAAGCGACCTGCGGGAGGCGCTGTGCGCAGCATCGCAAATGTCATCTTCGCTGCAGTAGCTATTGGTCAGTCCTGTGGAGGCTTCCTCAAAGCAAGGTGCTTGCTGTTGAGGTTTGTTATCAAAAGTTGCTGAACTGAGTTCGTTGATGCTGCAGACTAAAGGTGTCCACCAGCGCTATTTGCACCAAACTTCGTGTAGTTGCAAAAAATTTTAAGCAAGGCAAATTAGATGTCTCTCTTATAAGTCTGCGTTAGGTTTGGTTCATAACCTCCTTTAACTGACAGTGAAGCATCAGCGAGTTGGTCCTAAAGCAGTGGTCAAAGCCACTTGACCTCAGAGCTGCTGGGTCACAGGTAGCTGCAGGTTCCAGGTCCTTCTTGTGGTTCTCTCTTGGTTCATACAAAAACCCTTCACATCCCAGAGATCAGTTTCTCCTCCAGTTATTCCTTTGGGATAAACAAAATTTATAAGGGCATGTTTTCTTTGCTTCTCTTTCTTTCTTCTTCGTTTCTATATTTGCTCTGTTTCAATCCCGAAAGCCAAACTAGCAAAAAACTACTCTGTGCCAACAGCTTCACGCTCTCTTGCTCTCTATTGGTCTCCCTCTTTCGTCTTTCTCTCTCTGTCTCTGCCTCTTTGCTCCACGTGTGCCTGCAGTCTGAGTGTTTCCGTCTGTCTCTGGTCTTATAGCCGGTGGGAGGGCCGAAGGACAGCTGCACTCCTCCCTCTGAGCGCTGAGGGTCCCTCGGCTGCTGTCTAGAAGCAGGCCAGAGAGACCGGAGGCAAGAGGCAAACCATCAGCAGGAGTTTGTTTTGGCTGCACGCTGATGTGTTCCAGGGGAAGTCCGCCCTAAAACAGAACTTGCATCACCCGCAGAGCCCGAAGAAACTGACATTCTAATCAATATGAATGTTGTCTACATATTAGAAAAAAAAGAATCTGGCAGGAGCAATAAAGCCACGATCTTTGACTGTACAATCAAATATCAAATTAACTTATTTAACCCATTTTTGTTTTCTTTTCTGCAAAAATGTGACCAAACTACATGAACTCACAGTTGTTCAACTGTGTCAGAGGTCAATCTTTTGCATAACAAAGAGCATGATCAAATTATTTAACAGATTTTCTTCTGAGATATCTTTTTTTTTTTTTTTTTGGTTCTCACATGGATCAGCTGCACATACCAAAAAATAAAAAATCTCCTCCAATTTCCAGGTTTTCCACGATGGGTGACTTTTTCTTTTTCTATTCTTTGTCATTTACCTGCATGACAGAACAACCTAACAGCAAGAGATGCAACTGGGTCTTGCATTTGCAAAAAAAAATATCATGTTTTGTTCAACCACCTCCTTGACAGTAATAAGCTGTGAAGCTTCAATGGTGAAGTAAGAGTTTGCCTTTCTCACTACATCTTCCTCCCTTCACTCCTCCTCCTCCTCCTCCTCCTTCTTGTGTTCGTCCCTGGACAGCAGGCCGGGAGGTGGTTTAGCCGCAGAGCTGGAAGCTGGCAGGTCAGGCTGAGTTTGTGGATGAAGTCGGGAAATGGGTTTATTCAGCCGTGGCTGAATGCTTTTATGTGCACAAGCTGCGACACTCGAGGGCCTGCAAGTAGTTTGTCCTCAGGGGATTCACATTTTTAGGGTGGAGTGACTTTTTTTTTTTTTGATGAAGGTGAGGTTCATGGATTTGCATTAGGGGAGCTGCTGCTTTACTCGCTTACACTCACTTTAACAATTTGTCTTCTGCTGAAAGATGAGGGAAAAAAAAGTGCAGAGACAGCAAATAGAGAAAAAGACAGGAAAGACAAGACTGGGAATAAAGTAATGAGATCAAAAAAAGCCTGATCTCTGTATGTATGGAAAGACATTATGGTCCCAAACTCTGATCTGCTTTTCCTACTTAAAGTCTTTTGGATTTTATTAGCCACGATCGTGCAACTTAACTCTCATTTCCAAGCAATTGAGTGACCTTTAAATTTTGCTCCCTACTTTAAATGTACAGCGGTTAAAGGTTGACAACCTACGTAAAACTCAACTATGAAGTCTCTAATCCTCAGTAGTACCTTACTGAAAACTCTAAACCCAACTGCCATTGCTGGTATGCCTCTTTTGTGTAGATTGGCAACAGAAAGCTGCTGCTGAAAACTAATAGCACAATGAATAATCTGTCAGAGTTACACAATGTTACAGTCAGCATTCATCACTCTCCATTTCTCTGTCTTTTTTCCTCTTCTGTCCATATTTCTCTCCCTCCCTCCCTCCTCTCTGTGTCCATCTCTACCCTTCAATCTCAGCCGGAGTGTTTATGCTGTGGTATTGTGTGAATGAACAGAAGCCAAAGTTGGTTGCAGTGGCTGATTACAGTACATACAGGAAGCAGAGGGATGGGTAGGCTGTAGGTTGGGATCAAACCAATCTGAATGCTATAATGAAAACAGAATGTGGCTCTTCCTCCATAATGTAATGTGCTTGGTTTATAACGAAATAACAGAAAAGCATTAGGTTTTGGCACACACTTGCATCTTCTAAAGGTGCAATTAAACAGGGCAGTTCTGGTCTTCTGTTTCACATTGAACCGCTATCTTAGACATAAACACATGCATATTTACAATAAATATTCTGGGGGAAAAAAAATAACTTGAAAGCAAATAAATCATCTTAAATTGAAGGAACTGTATGGGTTAAGAATGAAATGGAAACAAGTAAAAAAAGAAAAAAAAAGAAAAGCGTGCACAGTTTGTACTACAACACTCTTTCCATTCTCCCCTCAGCTGTCATTGGACACATCCGGCCACGAGATCGGGCCTCACCTCGCTCACTGCTCCAGATTCAACAGCCATTAATATTGCTCTTAGTTATGTCAGTTTTGCAAATAATGAAAACCAAAATGAAAGTGGACCGAAAATAACAAAACCACCCAGTGAAAACAAGCCTTTAAAGAGCCGATGCTGCAGCACAATCCAGCAGCTCATTGCTCTTGCGAAGGGAAGGAAGTTGGACAATATGTGGTAAACAGTGGGGCTTGGTTCTGAGTGCATTTTGAAAAGACTTCTAAATATTTATTTTTTGGGGATTAAATGGCTTTAATTGATAGTAGTAGTGGAGTCAGACTGGGGGGGTGCAGGAGTTGCAGTGGTGCAGCATGTTAGTATTAACTTAGTCTCTCTTTGCCTACAGTCAGCTGCACCGTGCTACCAGTCTGCTGTAGGGCAGAAAACACTCTGGCCTGTTTGTGTTTCTTTAAACCAGTCACAGTCATCATGGGCGGAGCTAAGCAAAGGATGCGGCTTTTAGACCCGCCTATTTTTTAAGTTAGTACCTCTCTGACTCTGATGCAGGATGTGGGTATAAGCCTGCCAGTGCTTGCTCAGTTCAACCAGCTTTGTTTTTCACTTCTGTTGTCTGCGTGTTACTGTTGTCTTTACCACAGGAAACAACAACAACAACAACCTACAGGCAATTTAAAGTTGTTCTGAGCATTTGGATCATGCAGTAAGGCAGCCCTGCTATTTTCCTTTCAGTGGATAATTGCAAATGTCCATTCTCTTATTCTCACCGTAACGTTAAGGAAAACTTTTGTGTGTGTGTGTGTGTTTGTTGTTTTGTTTATTTTAATTTGGACATGGCAATGATTTTTTCTGTTATTTCATGCATCACATATGTATACACACTAAGTACCTAACTAACTATAACCACAACATTTAAACAGTCTAACTATGTTGTGTCCACCTTGTGCTGCCAAAACAGCACCTGTTGGGGCATGAAAACAGGACCTCTGGTGTGTCCTGTGGTGTCTGGTACTGGGATGTTGGCAGCGTATCTTTTGGGTTCTGTGAGTTGTTCTGTGGATCAGACTTATTGTGGTGCATCACACAGATGCTTGATCACACTGGCACCTGGAGAGTTTAGAGGTTGGGTCTTTGGCTGTTTTTCTGTGTTCCTCGAGCCGTTCCTGAGCAGCTCTTGCAGTCTGGCAGGGTGCATTGTCCTGCTGAGGGAGGCCGACGCCATCAGGGGGTGATGTTGCCATTCTGGTGGTATATTTAAATATACCTAAAATATCAAAATTGCCAAAAATAAAACGGGCAAGTATCTCATCACCCTTCCCTTGATTAATATTTAGACTTAGTCTATATATTTCTGACTGCTGACTGCACTGTGGAGCTACACTCACTGTGGTCCATCATTACATGCATTAGCATGATCGTCATCTAATTTGCATCTCCCAGGAGAGCGTGGCGGCTCTAACACAGTATCCATTTCTCTCTGAATCACTGCCTGCAGGCCAGAAAACATTTGACTGAGTATAATGTACACTGTGAGTCTTTTTATAATCACCGGCTGAATTTGCTAGAAGAACATTGTATGAAAAGGAAACAGCTACATTACAGCACGATAATGTCCATATTTACATAAAACTACATGATAATGTTGACACAAGTCCACAAAATAGACTCTGGATTTTACATAATCATGCCAAATGTGGCTCTGTCTAAGAATGCTGGCTATCTATTGCAGGTTATATGAGGAAATTATGATGAAGACTGTTTGTAAAATTACATTTGGACAGTCAAAACCATAAGAAAACGGCACAGACGCAAGTGATAATTATTCTTGCACTGAACAAGAATGTGCATGTGTGGATATTGAGAACAGTGCTTGATTTTTCACAAGGTAACTGTATTCCCTTGAACTGAATGTCTGCTTCAGCTGTTGTTCTTTTCAGAGCTTAACTATAAAAATATTCTTTCCGTTACACGTTCGAAGGCGGCAAGGTGTTGCAGTGGTTAGCACTGTCTCCTCAAAGCTCGAAGGTCCTTGGTTTGCATCTCGACGTGGATTCTTTCTGTGTGGAGTTTGCATGTTCCCCCTATGCAGAATGGGTTCTCGCCTCCCACAGTCCAAAGAACATGCTGAGGTTAACTGATGATTCTAAGTTGTCCATGTGCTTGGTTGTCTGTCTGTGTAGCTCTGAGATGGACTGGTGATCTGTCCAACATGTATCCTGTTTTCGCCATTCATCAGCTGGGATAGACTCCAGCCCCCCACGACCCCACACAGGATAAACCTGTGTATAGAAAATGGATGGATAGATGTGCCTTTAGAATGTAAACTCAGTCATATTCAGACATTCTCTGTTTATTGACAACCTAGAATTTAATTTAATCATCTAAGGAACATTTGATGAGTTCATTTGCAAAAACAGATAACTCCATCTTCCCAAACCTTCAGAACACTCACTTTTCCATCATTTAGCTGAGACAATATCAATCAAACTTAAATTATCTCTGTTTTGTCATGTAATTTCTGCTGAGTCAAATCCACTTAACTTCAGTTTGATTGATATTATATACAAACAACAAAAAAATTTTTTTTTTTTGGAAAATCTACAAAAATGGAGTTATCGGTTTTTGCAAATGAACTCTTTACTTTCAACTGTCTTTCTTGTCATTTTGGGGCTGAGCTGTTGCTTTTCATGATGGTGACTGCACAGTTCCAAAAAGTAAAAATAAAATGCATCCATTTTTATTTTTTTTTAAATGAGTGGTGTTCTCCTTTAAAGATGCAGCAGCAGCGGCAGCAGCAGCAGCAGTAG